TTAAAGGCAAGTCAAGCGTGGGAAGGAATGTGTGGCAAGTGTATATGATTTGGGAGTTGCATGTAGTGATTAGGTCTTACACTGCTCGTATATCCTGCAATGGGAAATCCCAGGTGTCCTGAGCAGATGGTTGCACTGAGGGAGAACGCTCGGATTCCCACAGGGTGTAATGGGCCAAACCCACAGCAGGCACATCTAACCTTTTGACAGTGTAACATGCTGTCACTGCAAAGTTCATATGCAACAACCATGCCATCAAGTCACAAAATAAAATCATCTCATAATGTTTAAATAAGCTTAGGGATTTGTGTTGGGCTGCTTCCATTGCTATAGTCAGTCACACGAGATATGTTGGACACACCACATTAAGGTATCAGTATCCATCCATCCCAATAACCACCCTCAATAATACCTTGGCTGTATGGGACTAAGTTAGAGAACAGTTACTCTACCCATGAAATTAATTCTTTTCTAAGACAGAGTCTTTTGAACTCATGGTCCTCCTTCCTTTGCTTCTCAAATGTTGAAATTATTGAGGTATACCTCCATACCCAGCTGCAAGTGATTTTTAAGCTACAACTTTAAAGTCTTTCTGGAATAAGGCAAAGGACAGATTAATATCATTTAAAAATCATTGCAAGACTGGGCATGGCAGCACACACCTTTAGTCCAGCACTCAGTTGACAGAGGTAGGTGAATCTCTGTCAGTTTGAAGGTAGCCTACTCTACATAGTGCATTCCAGATCAGCCATGGCTACGTAGTGAGACCCTGCCTAAAAGGAAAAGACATTGCTGTTCCCTTTGAAGCTGTTCTGTGGGTCTGTCTATCTATCTACAGAACTCCGTATCTAAAGGTAACCATATTTTATTTCATGCAGCCCCACTGATGAGTGGTTTTGAAAAGGGTCAGTAATGATGCATTTGGTTCTAGGAAGAGTCACAGGCTAGCTGGACTATATCTGACAAGTTGGTGGTCAAGGAAGATAGCATTGCTTTCAGAAACTACAGTGTTTGGTTGAGTATAGGCAGAGAGGCTCACTCCTTGGCCTTAAGAGGCTATGGAGAGAATGACACACATGACAACTGCTGTGCAATCTCCAGGCAGAGGCATTACAAGGGTGCTGAGAAGCTGGGGTGAGGGAAATGTCTTATAGTTGAATGGTGGTTATGGTTACAAATCTACCATAAATCATTGACAGTATACTTAAAACAGGTTAAATTTCATGCTATGTAAATTGCTACTCAGGAATTTCTTAAAAACAAATAAAAGCTGAACCTGGATGCTTTGTGAGTCCAAAGATTCTCTTTAGTTCTAAATTAAAACTAGGGTGGCACAGGTTCATGTGCTGGTAGGTGAGCTTGGCAGAGTCTGGCAACCGAAACTTTGTGGATAAGAGAGTCAGGGAAGGGTTTGATCAGAGGAGGGGTGGTAGAGGGCTGGACATGTGATTCCCATCTATGAACATGTTGGATTAGTGATGCCTGCGTGACACCCAGACGAAAATAACCAATAAGCAAGCACACCCATGATTCTGGTATTCTAGGAGACTGGTTACAAGTCATTTATATCAAGTGGTTAAAAACAGGAAGAGCCAACAAGTGACGAGGATCTTGTATATCAGAAGTAGGGACGCTGAGGATGGGACCCTGCTGAATCAGGCAGTGAAGGACAGAGAGAAAAGGACAGAGAGAAGACTATGTCAGGAGACCACAACAAGAGAGTCTCCAGGAAACAAAGACTGGGAAGGTGGCATTGAATTGGGCTCCTGACCTCAGAAGTGGTAAGGAGAGGGAAGTTCAGATTTAAAAACAAACACAGAACCAGGAAGGAAGTGGAGACAGAAATGAGGCTGGCTGGCTGGAGATGTCTGAGACAGACAGGAGGAAGCCAGGGAGGCTACTAAAGGAGGAAGGCTTTGTGCCTTGGTTCTTAGGATGGGAACTTCAGCATATTTGTAGACTGACCCAGTAAGAACAGAAGGTTAGGTGAGGGCACAGCTCAGTTGGTAGAGGGCTTGCTTCTCATGCAGGAGGCCTTAGATCCTGCCTCCAGCACAACAAGAAATAGATAAGCCAATATCTATATATGTCTATCTGTATCTGTATCTATATCTATCTATCTATCTCTATATATGTATCTATATCTATCTATTGAGAGAGAGAGAGAGAGAGAGAGAGAGAGAGAGAGAGAGAGAGAGAGAGAGAGAGGTGTGTCAAAATGCAGTCAGCAGAATCCCATGGATGGCAGAGGCAGGTCTGGGCCAAGGTCTCAGCTAGTCACTAGCAGGACAGTGGTTCACTGTGCCCTCTGAGATTGGAGGTCTGGGAGTTGTGAAGACTAGGTTGGCAGGGGAGGCGGTTGAGAGGGCTTCCCTTGCTGCTGGCTTGGGTCTTTGTTTGAAAGGAAATTGGAAGTGTGGAGTCAGATGTAAAGACTGGAAAACTCTAAGATTATAACTGGGGGTGGGGCGCTGGTGGACAGTGAACACGTTGGAGGGAGTTATTCTTGTCTGTCCACCGATGCTCTTCCCCATCCATCACCTGCTCTGCTTCCAGCTCATGGGCTGGACCACTTTTTGCCACCTCCCTGCCTATGAACTTGGTCAACTCACCATATTGTCTTTCTTAAATGCCCATCACTTTCAAAATCCTTTGCTTTTTCTCTCGCCCCTTCCTGCCCTTTCCCCTCACAGAAGCCAAAGTGATTTAAAGAGAAAAGAGAATCTAAACCAGATGTCTCCTCCCTCCAAAAGTCTCTAGTAATTCTCACTGTGGTGAGATTCACACGTATGACATGCCCCCTTTTCCCCTGTAAGAGCCAGCCGGATTCGGTTCTGCAGAGCTCCTCCACTCCTACCTTCCCTTGTCTCTCAAGGAGCATGCCCCTCCCCCATTATTATGCTGGGTTTTGTTTGTTTGTTGTTGCTTTTTGTCTTTTTCATATATTGGCCAGCAGCTGTTTCAGTCAGTTTTCCATGACTGTAAGGAATATCTGGGGTAAGTCAGCTTAAAGACAGGGAAGGTTTGTTTTGGCTCCTAGCCTTGCAAGTTTGATTGTGACAGATGCTACGATGAAATGGCCCTGTTGCCTCAGGCCTGACGTGCTATAAGACATCATGGCGGCAGCATCCACTCCCCTCATAGTGGCCAAGAAATGAAAAGGCAGGAGAGGCTGGGTTCCCATAGTTCCCTGTGGCAGCACACCTCCAAAAACCTAAGACCTTTCGTTAGGACCCAATCCTGAAAGGTTCTACCAGCTCCTACTGCCAACTAGGGAACCAAACCTCTGACACATGGGATTATGAGGGAACATTCTAGAGCCACACTGGAGTGGTAAAATAACTTCACACTGTGTGCACATTTTCTATTCCTAAACCTAGATTAAGAATGCTGGAAGAGCAGGGACCTTGTTCAGCACAAAGTAGGCATGTAGTGGATTAAATATTGGTTGAATGACCAAACTAAACAAAATAAAATACAGCTGGCAATATTGGAAGCCTACATGATCTTAGAAAACAAAACTAAAAGGATCCAGGATGGCACATGGTTGCATGATCTGATTTTCTTCACCAGGGACGGTTGATAACAAGACAATCCCCTTACCCACTCATTGTAGAACTAGTATTTAACAAGTATTTCCCCATGCCAGCAGGTGAGGAGGGGCATATTTTTGAAAAGCAGATGATTCCCTGAGTAACCTGTGCGAGGGTTGACATTCTTACTCAATTGCTGGAAGTCTCCTTCCCTTTGTAGTCCTCTTGGGTGTGGATTGGCAACTGTGGGAAGAAACTGCCGATCCTTTCCAACCCCAGAACTGGGTGGCACTGTTCAGTGAAGTCAGGCTACTGAGCTGGGTCTGGTTTCCTTGGTGACCCACGAGGCTCAGTTCTGTCTGAAATCGCTAAGGAGGAGAAGAACCTGATGGCAGAGCTGTGTGTTCCTTAGGGAGGGACTGCTTTCAGAGGTTCATGGAGGCTGAGGATGTGTCTCCTTGATTGTTGAGGGCTGCTTCGCTGGGGGTAGGGAGTGCAAGTGACATCTCCTAAAGGCTCTAAGAACCCCACAACAGAGTCCAGCAAGTCTGCCCTATGCCAGCCCCAGGTAATTGCATCATGACCCCTCAGGCTACCCGTCAGTTTTGTGTTTGCATGCAAACACTGTAGCCAGGGAGACCAGAAGTTTGCTTGTTGTAGAGTGTGTTAACCACCTTTCTTCTGGCACCCATGACAACAGAAGGGCATGCTGTTTTGTAAATGGTAAGGCAGCTCAGTTAACCCCTTAAGGTCTTTTTGCTTCTCAGTTAGCTAAATATGAACCCTAATATCACTTATTGCCAAAGGCTGGGGGTCAAGCCCTGCATTACATAGGTGTGTGGATGCATGAGTGTGTGTATGGTATGTGTGCACAGGTGCACACATCCAGGCACATGTGTGGGGCCAGCGGAAGAAGTTGGGTGTTCTGCTGTGTCACTCTCTTTATCTTACTCCTTTGAGACAGGTTCTCTCCCAGTCTGGAGCTAGGCTGGTCGTCAGCCAGCAGACAGACCCCAGTGATCCCCTGTCTCCGCCCTGCAGAGCACTGGGGTGACAGATATGCATGGCCATGCTTAGCTTGTTGTGTGGTTGCAGGAGCTTTGAACTCAGGTCCTTACGTTTCTACAGCAAATGCTCTGATCCACTGAGCCATAGCCCCAGCCCCTGCACTAAATATTTTCTCAAGTCCTCGGGTTTATCAGCAACATTTCATGGCCTGAGCCATCTCCCAGTCCCTGTACTTGAGTTTTTAAAGGACCCCTAACATTGTAGCATGGAGGATGGCGTGGGGTGAAATAAGAAAACTGGGACTACCACTGGGATAGAAATGCTTCTATCACTCTTGTGACAGTGTTATGAAGTCGGCACCAACCATTTTACAGCTGAGAGGCAGGCTGGGGGTGGGCTTCCACCAATGCTGTCTTAAAATTCTATTACCCAAAGGCAATCCTGGCTTTCCACAATTACCTGATATTCTGAGTCCACCTTATGCTGCATGTCCCGCAGATACTGAACATCACTGACGAACTTCTGCCTGTCCCTTGCTTCATGCAACATGGTTCTTAGTTCCCGACCTACGTAAGAGAGAGAAATAAGCACACTGTGACATGTTTTTGTGATTCAGCATATTTGTATTTATTTGAATATAACTGCATGTGTTCTTTTATTAATCTATTCCCCCCACTGTTTGAAAGGTACAGACATTTTTTTTTTGTATTCCTGTCCAAAGTCCTTAAAGCCTTTTCTGTTCCAGCCATAAATAATGCAGTCACATTCATCAACTGGCTTCAGGGAGCTTGTCCTGGTTATTCACAGGGACTTAGGTTGATAGACACCTGATTGGGGAGTGGTTCTACCATATGGCAGAGATGAAAACAAGAAGCCAGACAGATTGCAGTGACTGAACTTATAAGTCCTTGTTGCTTAAATTCACATATGCGACCATTGTCCTTAATCCAAACCAGACAATGCCAGCTGCTGGGTATGGCAGATACGGTCCCGGCCTTTGTGTTACTGACAGTCTAGGGTGGAAAACCAACGCTAGACAATCTAACTCTGCCAGCACAGAGCCGCTATGGGCTCTTTGAAAGAATGGTATTGTAGAAGGGCAGCGTTTGACTGGAAGGGTCAGCCTCAGACCCTGGGGTTGATAAATCATGAGTTAGGCTAGAGTTGAGAGAGGACAGCAGGTGCCTCAGGGCCTGAAGGAGGATGAGGAACAGAGTGAGGGCAGAGCTTCTGGGGCAGATGGTGGGGAACAGACTGATTGGGGGGGCTGGCAGAGACCAGCTCATATGGGGCCTTGCGGGTCATAATGAGAAGCTACATGGAGTTATTGATAGGTTCTAGCCCAGGGAAGAAACGCTGCATAGCACATGTGCATGTGTCCACGAGTGTGCAGCATAGCACATGTGCATGTGTGTGTCCACGAGTGTGCAGCATAGCACATGTGCATGTGTGTGTCCACGAGTGTGCAGCATAGCACACGTGCGTGTGTGTCCACGAGTGTGCAGCATAGCACACGTGCATGTGTGTGTCCACGAGTGTGCAGCATAGCACACGTGCATGTGTGTGTCCACGAGTGTGCAGCATAGCACACGTGCATGTGTGTGTCCACGAGTGTGCAGCATAGCACACGTGCATGTGTGTGTCCACGAGTGTGCAGCATAGCACACGTGCATGTGTGTGTCCACGAGTGTGCAGCATAGCACACGTGCATGTGTGTGTCCACGAGTGTGCAGCATAGCACACGTGCATGTGTGTGTCCACGAGTGTGCAGCATAGCACACGTGCATGTGTGTGTCCACGAGTGTGCAGCATAGCACACGTGCATGTGTGTCCACGAGTGTGCAGCATAGCACACGTGCATGTGTGTGTCCACGAGTGTGCAGCATAGCACATGTGCATGTGTGTCCACGAGTGTGCACACGTAAGCCAAGTCTGACATCAGTTGCTATTTCTCCTCAATCATGCTCCACTTTATTTTATTTTTACTTTTTTGAGACACGGCCTAGAGCTCACTGGTTCTGCAAGAACAGCAGACAAGAAACTCTCAGAGATCCTCTCGTCTCTGCTTCCCCGGGTTTTTAAATGGGTGATGGGTGTGTGTGTGTATATAGGGGGCACGGTCCTGAACTCAAGTCCTAATGCTTAGTCCAGCAACATTTCACTGACTGAGCCATCTGCCAATCCTTTACATTTGTGAGGTTTTTGTTTGTTTGTCTGTTTTTCTTTTTCTTGGTTTTTCAAGGCAGGGTTTCTCTGTATTGCTTTGGAGCCTGTCCTGGAACTCGCTTGGTAGACCAGTCTGGCTTCAAACTCACCGAGATCCACCTGCCTCTGTTTCCCGAGTGCTGGGATTAAAGGTATGTGCCACCAATGCCTGGCCTTACATTTGTGTTTTTAAAAGGCTCCTAAAATTGTAATATGGAGGATGGGGTGGAATAAGACTCGGAGTTGAGAGGAGATGGTAACAAGGCTTGGGTAGCTAATATGTGAGGAGGAGGAAGAGGAGGAGGAAAAGGAGGACAGTGGGAGTGGGAGAGGATCAGAGCTCCCATGGACCAGCCTGTGGCAGTGCCGTGCTGCTCTGAGCAGCTGCCTGTATTCACGCATTTCACAACAAAATGCTGCAAGGCAGACACCATAGTTCTAATACAGAAAGATAACCTAACTACAGCCTCAAGAACGTTTAATGAAAAAGGAAGCCGGGTGTTGGTGGCACACACCTTTTTTTTTTTTTTTTTCGAGACAGGGTTTCTCTGTATTGTTTTGGAGGCTATCGGTCCAGCCCAGCCTCGAACTCACAGAGATCCGCCTGCCTCTGCCTCCCGAGTGCTGGGATTAAAGGCTTGCACTCGGGAGGCAGAGGCAGGAGGATCTCTGTGAGTTCGAGGCCAGCCTGGTCTACCTAGAGAGTTCCAGGACAGGCTCCAAAACAATACAGAGAAACCCTGTCTTGAAAAAAGAAAAGAAAAGGGAGGTGTTCTGACCATCAGGAGACACAGCCAAGATACAACTGAGGTTTTCCTCAGTTACCTCCTATCTTAGTGTTTCTATTGGTATGACAAAACATGACCATAAAGCAAGTTGGGGAGGAAAGGGTTTACTCAGTTTACACTTCCATATTGATGTTCATCACTGAAGGAAGTCAGGACAGAACTTAAACAGGGCAGGATCAGAGGCAGGAACGGAGGCCATGGAGGGAAGCTGCTTATTGGCTTGCTCCCCATGGCTTGCTCGGTCTGCTTGCTTTTCTCCCTCCCTCCCTCCCTCTCTCCCTCCCTCCCTTTATGTTGTTGTTTGTTTTTCAAACCAGGGTTTTTCTGTGTAACAGTCCTGACCATCCTGGAACTCGCTCTGTAGACCAGGCTGACCTCGAACTCAGAGATCCGCCTGTCTCTGCCTCACTAGTACCAGGATCAAAGGCGTGTGCTAACATGCCTGGCTTCAGCCTGTTTTCTTAAAGAACCCAGGATCACCAGCACAGGGATGGCACCACCCACCATGGGCTGGGCCCTCCTCCATTGATCACTGATTGAGAAAATGCCTCACAGCTGGATCTCATGGAGGCGTTTCCTCAGCTGAGGCGCCTTCTCTCTGTTTGTGTCAAGGTGCTGCATAAAGTCAGCCAGTACAACTGACCCCTTATCAACTTGACACACAAACATCACTATTAAGCCACAACCCTTCCTTCCTTATTCATCCCCAAGATCTTACATTGAAAACATAAGTAACTTTAAAAATCCCACAGTCTTTACAAATTCAAATATATTAAAATTTCAGCCCCTTAAAAATAGCCAATCTCTTTAAAAATCCAGTCTTTCAAAATTCAAAGTCTCTCAACTGTGGGCTCCAGTAAAATACTTTCTTACTTCAAGAGGGGGGATAAAATCAGGGCAGAGTCACAAACAATTCAGAGCAAAACAAAATTCCAACACCCCAGTGTCTGAGTTCTGCTAGGTCTTCTGGGCTCCTCCTAGGCTGGGTGGTTTCCCAAGCCCCGCCCTCTGCAGCGCACACAGTCTGTCCCCTAGACTCTGCCTGGCTGTACTCCACCGCTGCTGCTGTTCTTGGTGCCCCCCCCCATGGTACCGGCATCTCCAAAACACTGGGGTCTTCTGCTGCAACTGGGCTGCACTTTCACCAATAGCCTGTCATAGACCAGCTCTCTTCATGGTACCAAACTTCAACTTTACATGGCCCCTTCAGTCCTGGGCCTTCAACTGCCACTGAGGCTGCACCAATGGCCTCTCCTGGCCTCTTCAGTGCCAAGCCTCAGTCAGCTGTTCTCCATGAGCCCTTCATACCTTCAAAACCAGAACTACCTGGGTGACTCTTACATATTACCAAGTCCAGCTGCCAGCATAAGGTACAACCTTGGCTGCCCCTGGAACACAGCTTCTCTGTGCTCTCAGGAAACACTTCCAGAAGATTTCACTTCAATGAGGCTACTGTCTCCTCCCTCCCTCTCCTCTCCTCTTCTCCTCTCTCTGTCTCTCTCTGTCTCTGTCTCTCTGTCTCTGTCTCTGTTTCTCCCTCTGTCTCTCCCTCTCTCTCTGTCTCTCCCTCTGTCTCTGTCTCTCTGTGTCTCTGTCTCTGTCTCTGTCTCTCTGTCTCTCTCTCTCTCTCTGTCTCTCATATCTTGGCTGACCTGGAACTCACTCTGTAGATCAGGCAGGCCTCAAACTCACAGAGATCCACCTTGCCTCTGCCTCCTGAGTGCTGGGATTACAGGCATGTACCACATTGCCAGGCTGCTGGTCTCTTCCTAGTCACTGTTGATTTCTTAGCTCCAGGCGACCAGCATCCAATATAACAGTTAAGCGACATTTCACTTTAGTAGTGCTGGTATCTTGTTAGTCATCGCTGATTCTTCAGTCTCAGCTAACCCAGAAGCACAGACCCTTAATGACAAATGGCCCACCCAAGAGTCTTTATCTTCCCTGTGAAATTTCACAAGCCAAGCCTCCATCCTCTGCATTGCTCCTAACAGTCTTATCTTCCAAGCTCCCATAAAGTATCACACAGAGCTCTTAACACTCAATGGCTCTTCTAGCCTGGAGTTCCACAGTCCTTCCACAGTCCTTCCACAGTCCTCCAGAAATCATGGTAAGCTCCGTCACAGCAATACTGTACCACACAATTGCTGTTTTAGGGTTTCTGTTGCTGTGATGAAACACCAGGACCATAAAGCAAGTTGGGGAGGAGAGGGTTTATTCGGCTCACACTTCCACATTGCCATGCATCACTGAAGGAAGTCAGCGCAGGAACTCAAACTAGGCAGGATTGATCCTAGAAGCAGGATCTGACGCAGAAGCCATGGAAGGGGGCTGTTTACTGACTTGCTTCTCCTGGCTTGCTCAACCTGCTTTCTTATAGAACCCAGGACTACCAGCCCAGGGATGGCCCCACCCACCATGGGCTGGGCCCTCCCCCATTGATCACTAATTGAGAAAACGCCTTACAGCTGGATCTCGTGGAGACATTTGCTCACCCGAGGCTCCTTCCTCTCTGCTTGTGTCAAGTTGATACACAATACCAGACAGTACATCTCTTATCCAATGCTTTGCCTGCCTGGAATCAGGAAGGGCAGCTTTGTGAGACAAGAGTGTGGAGTTTGAAGTGAAATACTGTAGATACTTCAAACTCCACTTTCTTGTCTCATGCGGCAAATGGAGATATCAAGCCAGCAGTGGGAGATGCGAGGCTCTGAGCTGATTGGACAGGTAAAGATTTGGCCACTGCTGGCATACTGATAACAACTGAAGTTGAAGCAAAGTGGGTACTGAACAGAGAAAATGGACGTAGGACAAAACCATTAGCAAATAAAATGTAAGGAAGAGGCGGTTGAAGAGGAGCTCAGTGAAGGACCCCAGTGGCAGGAGAAAGCTCAGTGGGCTTGGCTCCATAGAGGCTGATGAGATGCTCCAAGGAAGAGGTTGTTGGTGCCCTAGCAGGGGCAGTTACTGGACCAACAAGGCTGAAGTTCCATTATGCTACTGTATAAACAGGTGGTAAAGACTTATCTTGGCTTCAAGAAATTAGGCTTTGGTTGGTGTGGTCTAATTTATGATCACAATATTATAGCTCACAAAGTTATAAAATACACTGTTTGTACTGAGACTGCCATATCTCATCATCAGATCATTGAAGGCTCCACAATCCATTCCAGCTCATCGTTCACAGAAGTTCTTTCATAGATTGCTTTATATATATTAATGACTACTGTGTGCTCTCAGCTGCTCTGAAATGGCGGGGGGGGCCCGCAGTCGCCAACCGAACCCTCGGGTGTGAGTTCTCTGTGGCTTCCCTTCCCTCTGTTTTATTCAGTGTGTATAGACAGTGACAGTCAGCTTGTCCTTGACTCACGGTGACTGAGTGTCTGGTCAGGGAGTTATGAAATCTTGCAAAGTTTATCATCTCCCCTGAGCAGTGGGGAGAGCTTCCTGGTCCCTGGGGTGGGGGGGGAAGCTGTTTTATCTCCAAATAGACAGTGGGTCTTTGGAGAGTTGGGGTCTGAAACTACAATATATAGTTCTAGAGTTTGTAAAACACTTAAGTAGAACCATGCTTCTCCCGTCTTAAAACTATCCACTAATTCTCCATGTGATAAGAATCAAGTTGACACATCAACCTTTGACCTGTAAGATCAACTTGACCTAGTTCTTTTGAATGCTTCAGGGCAGTTTGGACTTGCTAGCACTTGGCCCAGGATGGTTGGGTGAGCACTTTCTCACCATGCGCTTGCACAGGTATATGGCTGTACCCTCGTTACCTGTTTCTCCCCCATACATTCATCAGCAGCTGTGTTAGTTTTCCACGAGTGTGACAAATACCTGAGACAAGTCGCACAGAGATGTGAGTGTGTGTGTGAGAGAGAGAGAATCCCATCCGACATGTATGGACCACATTTAAAAATATCACTTTTAACTTTTCATATAAATTCGTACCTGCATCGAATGACGCCTGCTCCCCCCTTTTCAGAAAGTGGTGGGGTTAAGGCGGACCCCTGCTGCTCCTGTTGGGAAGAGAAGCCTGTTTGAATATTAATCAGACATGGAACACCAGGATTCACAAGCAGACTATGTTAATGGCCAGGAAAGAGCACAGTCCACAGCCCAGAGGGATGAAACATTGTAGGTGCAAAGTTAGCACAGCAAAGCCAGCTAATCTGTCATGGCTTCAGAGTGGTATCATTTAAGGAAGGCCTGAAATAACCCGGCCCGAGGAGGTAGGAGCCAATACCATTGGAGGACTTGCTGGGTACTTGCTGACTTCATAATCAGCTGCAAAACAAAGGACTTTGCTGGCAAGAGACCCTCCCCCAGCCTCCACAAGCTCCCCAGTACCCTACATATTTGAAGCATCAAAGTGCCGCATGTAGTTCCTTATTTAACTATATCAAGACTTTGAGATGAAACAGTCTGTCTCCTTGGTGTCCATCCTGCTAGCAGCTGATTATCTCGTTAGGGAAATATTCTCCACATGAACTTGAATTTTAGACTGCACTGCAAGTTTGAAAAACTGACCAGAATGAAGATGGGAATAAATTCACAAGAGATAATGCTTAATTCTCAGGGTCCCATTTTGGGGGCCTACTTAACCGGATGGCCATTTGAAGCCAAGGGTGTTTTTTGTTTTTGTTTTTGTTTTTGTTTTTGATATAGGTAGCTGCCAGAGTGCTGCATGGGATTGAATAATAAGACATGGGCAAGGCAAGGCGCGGCCCTAAAATAGCATCCCATGCTATCTTCTGTTCTCACCTTTGAACTGCTTCTCGCTCTGAAACTCAAGCATGGTCATGCATGCATCTGTTGTGAGCCTCTGGTAGCAAAGCGCTGGACGGAGTTTATGTTTTAGAAATCAGTGTAAGAAGCCATGTCAAGGAGATGGAAAGGGCCAGGGAAGAGAGGTGTGAGAAGAGGAGAGGAAGTGAGTGGTCTGCTAGGTCTCAAAATTCTACACAGCTGTGAAATTTCAGGGAGGAATATTCTAAGAACTCTATGACATAGAAATTCCTCTCTGATGTAAATTTCCAGGGAATTCAGGGTGAGGTGCCCTGACTAAGAACAACAGGATTTGATGGCAGAATTTGCTTCTTTCCATTCTCTAAACGTTTCACGTGTGTGTGTGTGTGTGTGTGTGTGTGTGTGTGTGTGTGTGTGTGTAAATGCATGTGAACACTCATGTGTACATGCTGTCTCCTCTCCTGTGTTCATAATTGTCATAACAAAAAACCCAATCTGAAAGAAGTCCTTTAAGCAAACTTACCATTTTCTTGCTATACTCTCTGTGAAGTATCACTAAAACGATACTGCCTTGGTTTTGGCAAATAAGCAAAATGTAAATTTAACCTCTTTAGGATGAAGCTTCATTTGAAACAAAATTTAAGTAGCTGTGTCGCTGCCTGACAAACAGGCTTATAAATTCCTCCTTCCCCAAAATTGGGTACTTGGAAGAAAGATTTGAGAAAACTTCAACCTTTTCCACAATGAATTAATTTGTAATGACAAGGATTACAGGATTTGTTTCCGTTTTAACTTGGGAGAAAAAACATCCTTCAGAGAGTTTTAAAAAGCTCACTTTATAAACTTGTATTGAGAATAAGTTTAGTGACTCGGCCCATTTTATACTTCAGAGGTTGAGGCTGGAGGCAGGATGGGGGGCCCTGACTCTTCCCACTTAGTTTAGGAAATGCAGGACGGGTTGGCGAGAGACCTAACTAACAAATACTGACCATTAGACCCAGAGGAGAGACTGTAATTAGAATAGTGGGAAGGCACACCGCAAGTTTGACAGGCCAGTGGGTCTAACAATAATACCACCATCTTTTCACATTCAAAGCTATTTCCTGGACTTGTAGACCAATGGCATATTAAGAGAAGGTACACAGCTGTGTGAGGGGCTGCCAGTGTGCAAAAAAAAAAAAAAAATGACCACACTCCTCTTAAACCTGTTCCTTTAAGGAAGAAACAAACTGGAGCCGGGGTGTCACAGAGGAAGAGAGACTGGCCACCACGCTCCAGGCCTGAATTCCCTTCAGAATCTTTTAAGTTTAAAAGGAAAAGTCGATCCTCGGTCCTGGGAAGGCTGGGGCGTCGCCCGTTACCTTGGGGATCAGCACTTTTGCCCCTTGCCAGGGACTAAAGGGGTGGCGGGGCAGAGCGGGTGGGCAGGCCCACAGCAGAAGAGCCGCCCATCAATTGTGCGTGGGGCCGGTCCTGGGCTCCTCGTCCTCCCCCACTCCTCACGTCTTCCCTCCTTCTTGCGGCCCCTCTTCCTTCTCCTCCCGGAGGCAGCTGTCCGCCGCCGCCGCCGGCCTTTCTCGGGGCGGAGACGGTGGGGGCGGCTGCCTGGCGTCTTCCAGTTTCCTTGGCAACCGAGCCTCCTTCCTAGAGCGGAGCCTGTGCGGCTAGCCGCGAGCGTGGATCGTGGGGGCGGGGCAAGGCTGCGGCCTCGGGGGTCCTGAGTCCACACGTGGGCGGGCCCCGCTGGTTGCCGTGGGAACCAGAAGGGATGCAGTTGGGAAAGGAAAGCAGTGATGGCGGCTGGCTTAGAAGAGGCATGCTGATTTTGTCTGTGGTCACGCCCAGATGCGGTGCTGTTTCTTATAAGAAGAAGAATAGAGAATGGAAGAGGAGAAAAATTCAGTTGAATAAAATATTAAATGCGGTACATGGAGAGGAGAAAAGATGATGAATTTCTAGAAATGGCTGATACGCAGGGATCTTCAAGTAAAATGTTCCAATCCTACATAACAGCAGAAATAAACGGTTAAGGGAGGCACCCAACTGCTTCAGAATGGAGACCAGAAGCCGGCTTCTTGGTCAGCCGTGGTCACTACTAGCTTCTCTAGGAAAGAGGTGCTTGGAGGGCTAGGACAGTGCCTACCAGGTCCTTGGTTCACTTCATTGTCCCTGGGCTGGGTTTATTTCTCTCTGAGGTCCTAATAGGCCACCTTGGCTCTTCTGTCTCTTTTGTATATTTAGGTACTCAGTAACTTGTTGACTGATGTCACTTAAAGGCATTTTAGACTGGGTGGAGCACAAAGAAGATAGACAATAGAAATTCTTGCACCTTTCACCAGTGTCGCAGTCTCCCTATGTCTGGGATCCAGGTGTCTCAGATGCAGCCCGACATTCAGGCAATGACTGTTCCTTAGCGGTTTGGCATCCTTTCTTTCTATTCTTAATCATCACCGCCCCTAATCTGGGACTCCATGGTCTCTGAACTGGATTAACATAAGGACTTGCAGCAACACTCTCCACCATTCCCTAGCTCCAATCTCTTCCCTGTCACATAAGCAGCATAGGTCCAAATGTCTTCAGTCGCCAGGAAGATGCTCCCAGAGACTTCTCACTGTCTGAAAAGTGAGCACCAGACTCTTGTTCCCCAGGGTTTGCTTTCTTGTGTTTTTTTTTTTTTTTGCCCTTGAGTCATCCCTTGCCAGATGCAGCTCTATGACATGCTGAATCCTTCTCTTCATCTTACAATTTCTAAGATATATCTTGAGCAGCGCAGAGTCTAGACAAAATATGCTTTGGGGACGTCTTTGTTTGGGGCTTTCTCATCTGACCTTCCCTGCCTTCCCTTGCCATCCATATTCTATCATTTTTTTAAAAGACTTTTATCACACCGTACTTTTATTGAATGTGTGAAGGGGCAAGCATACCACACGGCACGCACATGGGGGTCAGAGGACAGTTTGCTGGGATCTGTTCTCTCCTTCCATGTGGGTCCCGGTGACCAAGCCCAGGTTGCCAAGTTTGGTGGCGGGTACTTTTACCTGCTGAGCCATCTTGCAACACCACATTCTATTCTTCCCAACTGGCTGTCAAATATTCTCTATTAAGTTATCAACTGTAAGGACATAACATGGAACCTCTCCCTGTGGTCTTTGCCTTTCAGTGGGATATATACAATTAAGGATGCCAAGTTTGAGGCCCATTCCGCAGATATAGCTCAGAGCCTGCCTGGCATGTACAAGGTTCTGGGTTTTATCCCTAGCACTACATTAAATGGCCATGATGGCACACACCCAGAATCCCAGTAGAGGAAATGGAGGCAAGAGACTAGAGAAACCTTCTCACCCTGTGTGTGTGTGTGTGTATGTGGGGGGGGGGGGGATTGATTCTCTGTAGTAGTAAAATGACAGTTAGGGAACTTGAAGACTTACCTAAAACATGAGAACTGTGATGGTAATTAGTGATGATTATTATACCTGATTACTGATTAACAGAGAAGAACATTGAAGCCTAAGTGAGACAGTTGACCAGGAATGACACAGCCAAGGGCACCTGACAGTGAACAGACCCAGAGCTCAGAAGCAAGACTCCCATTCCCAACAACTTGATGTTGCCCCCCTAGCAAGAAAAACCACATTGTCACATATTAGATGTGGATGTTTGATTTTCTATCTTAAGAGCTATAGAAAAAATACTTTGTGCTTCAAAAGACAGCTGTAGGGTTTAAATGAGAGGAGACAAAAACATCAATTGGTAGGTTTGTTTTCCAAGGCATATTTTACTACTACAACACAAACTAGTCTAAACTATAAGTACTTTAAAATGTTAAAATAACAAGGCTTGGAGAAGTCACTCATTTCAGTTGGAAACTTTCCTACATTTCAAGTCCTCTTGTTATTTTGTGCTTTTCAGGGTGGTGTCATCACTGCGTAGCTCAGGCTAACCCTAAACTCATGATCATCCTACCTCTGCCTCCCCAGTGTTGGGGTTACAGGCGCCAACATGTCTGTTCCCTTCTATCGTGGTTTTTGAAAGTTCAGCTCCATGAAAAGAAAATGTTATACCCTTGAAAGAAAGTGACATTGCCAAAGGTCAGTTCATAAAAAAAGCTACAAAGCAATTCCGACGTCAGTGTTTCATGAGTGAACTTAACCTTGACATGTAAATTACAAAGCCGATCTTTTCCAGCAGTAAAAAGCAAAATGCTACCCACTAGAAACGTGAAAGCCAGGAAGAGAAAACCATTTCCGCCAGAGGAAGCACCCTATTCTCCATTATTTTTTGTACGATGTCCCTGGTGCATGAAGAGTGAAGAGGAGATAGGCTTAAATAGGCATGGGCTGAAATGACTTGCTTTTGCAAATAAACCCCAAGAAATTTTTTAAGAGCTCTACAAAGGGCAGCTGTAAGTGTTATGTTTCAGGTGAAGCCTATGAAGTTTTAAAAGCAACAGCATAAAATTATTTAATCGGGTGCAAAATGTAAACTGTTGGGAGGGGTGTGATTCCTCCAAGGCTCAGGGTCCTCATGGATACTTGGCCCAAGCACTCAATGGTGTTGAAGTAGCCAACCCTAACACACACACACACACACAGAGAGAGAGAGAGAGAGAGAGAGAGAGAGAGAGAGAGAGAGAGAGAGAGAGAGAGAGAGAGAGAGAGAGAGAGAGGGGAAAGAGAGAGAGAGGAAAGAGAGAGGTTGACTACTGACTAATTAGATCCTTGTCAGCGCACAATCAGAAGCTCCCAAAGGCCACAGAGCTTTGTGCCAAGTGGCCTCCCTCGCAACAGCTTAGACAGGGTCATTTTGCCTTGAGCCTGCCATGACTAATGAGTTCCTGTTCTCATCAGATGAGGTCATTGTGTTGGTGTTGACTTCATTCATGACTGGCATGAACTATGCCTATTTGTTTGTTAAAACAAAACAAAACAAAAAACCTTTGGCCTGGGTGTGGTGGTGCACCCTTGTAATCCTAGCACTCTGGGGGGTAGAAGCAGGAAGATTGTGAGATTCATGGGCAGCCTGGGCTACACAATGAGACTCTGTCTCAAAAAACAGGGGCCTGGATAGATGGCTCAATGGTCCTCTTCCAGAGGACCTCAGACTGGTTCCAGATACTCATGTCAAGTAGCTCACAGCTGTAACTCCAGCTCTGGTGACTCTGGCACTGTCTTCTGCCTATAAGGGTACCCATATACACATGGCATACATACAACTCAGAATCAGATGAATAAAAAAGTTCATTACAAAACAAAGAAAAATGCCTTTAGGGAGAGGCTTTCCCAACAAGGGGCTGTGGGCATGTTGGGCTTCTAGAATTCCTTGGGAATTTGTCTGATTAATTTAAAAATGTTTTCTATACTTAGATTTGTTATTTTGTGTGTGGTGGGGAGCATGTGCTGTGTGTGGAGACTGGAGGACAACTTGAGGGAGTTGGTTCTCTTTTTCTATAACATTGATTAAACTTTGGTCATCAAGTTTGGTGGCTTTGCTGGACCAGCTTACCAGTTCCTGGATAATTTTTAGAACTGGATAATGACTAAGAATGTTGTGGGCTGTTGTAATATTCTGTCATGTTTAACATATAGCCATGTTGCATTAGACAGGTGCTATTGTGGTAATTTGTTAATGTTGCCCATTAAAAGTAGGCACATTAATGTCATTAAGATGACTAAAGGGGGCGGGATGGAGACATAGCTCAGTTGAGGACCTGAGTTAGGATCCCTAGTATTCATGTGCAAAACTAGGCGTGGTCATATGTATATGTAACCTAGCATGATTGGAAGATGGGAGAGTGGGGGTAGGGTGTGGAGACAAGTAGATCCCCAGAACTCACTGGCCAGCCAGTCAGTCTAGCCAATCTCTGAACTCTGGGTTCAATGAGACACCCTATCTTGAAAGATAAGGTGGTGGAATGATCAAGGAAGATACAAGGATCCATCTCAGGCCTTGATGCTTGTGAATATACACATGCATGTACACATCCACACATACATACACTGCACACACAAGTAGAATGCTTAGAAGGTCGTTGAAGATTCAGGATTTACTCTTGGTTTTATAAGATCAGGAGTACATTTGTGTGTGGGGGCTCTGCAAACTCCAAGGGTGGCAGAGTAATGATCTGAGGTAGGCAAGAAGGAAGTCAGGTTCAACACGACTTAGTACCTGTGTTGGTTCAAACTTCTAGAGCCTGGCCCTGGGAAGTTTATTAGAAAATAAACCACAGTTTTGAGAAAAAGGGTTCCTGGTAACAATGATCTCAACCCCATGTGCACAACAAAGCTTAAGGTGTAACTACATCGAAACTTCTTTGCAAAGTACACGTGACCTCTTCCATAAAGATTGGTTCTATGGCTGAAGTGCCTAGGTGAGGATCAGGTGTGGTCTCAGAGTTCACCAAGCTACAAAGTATGTGTGACATCTCCCCTAAAGATGGGTCCTTTGACTGAGAAACAACGCTCAAAATAAAAGAGGAAGAGTCTGGAATAAACATAATAGTCTGGGGTGTTTAGATGTAGGGGCTTTGATGTTTCACATATGCTCAAGTCACACTCAATATCCAAGACCACTTCCTGCTGTTGTGGGTCAAGATGTAGAATTCTCAGCTACCTCTCCAGCAGCATGTTTGCCTGCATACTACCATGAAGACAGTGGACTAGACCTCTGCAACTATAAGCCAGCCCCAATTAAATG